TTCCAACCTGGAGTTGGCAACCCTATGTCCTTTCCAGGCAACCATCAGCCTACCTTTATCTGCCTGTCTGTCTTCAGGTTTACATCCCCCCCCCCCACAGCCTCAGAAAGGGCAGTCTTTCCCTGCAGTGGGAACCAAAGCAGCTGACATCATTCTCCTCTCCCTCATATGATCCACACAACTACTCTATGAGGTATGTTAAGGTTGAAAGTGTGTGAATGGTCCATAATTCCCCAGGCTGCTTTTAAAACATGAACCTGGGACCTGCACACCATCCTCTGAAGCGCTCTCTGTGGCAGTAATGGGGTGACTGCTGGCACCTTTTCCTATCATTTTTTGCCTTGTGGTATTCTGCTTGTGGTGTGATCTGTTGTCTTTGTGGTGTGGCATGATTGTCTTATTGGGTTTGTTTCTTTTGAAGGGGAAGTGATGTGTTCTGAGTGAGGACATATTTTACCTCAGAATACAGTAGGGTGGGGGAGTATGGCATTGTATCTGTCTATGCAACTGAAAATTCCAACTGCCTTGGGGGGGGGAGTTTGAGGTGTGGAATGGAGTGAAGTCCAATCAGCTTCCATATGCAAAAGACCTTGAAATGCTGGGCGGGACTGCACCACGCAGCCAGTCAACCCAGCCAGCGTCTTCTGACTGACAGTTCTTCCGGCCAAACACTAAAGGGGCCAAATTTAGAACGTTCAATATAGAACGTTGCTATTCAATTATAATATGGGAGAGATAGCACAAGAATTTCAAGAATGTGACGTATGATCACTAAGCTACAACCCCAGTGAACAGTACCAGTGCAGCAGAACAAGGCTGTCGTTGTGATGAAATGACACCTCACTCCACAGGTAACATAAATAACAATCACAGTTAGGAAAAAGACATGTTTAATTTGTACTCTGCCAGTGCTCAACATAGCCTTCTGACCTTTATAAAGGATGTAGAAAATATTTCAATAGTCATTTTTCAGATTGCCTGCCTAGGAAGATGAAAACTGATATTCTAATGGTGAATAGCCAATGGAACAAGCATTGTTTTCCTGTAGCATTAGGATCCTGCATGTACTCAATGGATTCATTGGAATGCTCTAGAACCAAGGGACTGGAATTTTCATCAGGTAAGGGGAAGAATCTGATGTCAACCACCCCCCTTATATGCACATTTGTTGAGACTCTTGCTCAGAATACCAGGAATTTTAGCAGAGTTCCTCAGAAAGTCTGAGGAAGGGGGAGGAAGGTTTTGACTCTTTAACTGGCTGGAACGAGCAAGAGAAAACATAGCTTTGAGAACATGACCTGGACAGAGATAGAGCCAGCACAAAAAGTTTGAAACTTAAATCTAGTAATATTAAATTTATTCTTCCTATTGCTAAAACTCAACATCACAGGGAGATACATTTAGAGAATTACATTTCTCTTAATAATTTTGTCCTTCACTGCATAGTCAAACATTCCTGCACATACTACAAGTCCCCCCCCC